GTTTATAATGCATGAGTGTAAATTTTGACTTACTTTCTAAATATACAACTACATTAACTTAATATTTTCAAGATGTTTTTATGCTTTTTTTAAGTTAAAAAAATGAGGAGAATATTATACTTACGTTCATATTATACATGAATTAATACGGTAATTATTTTTAAACTAACTATCCTGCATCATCAGCAATAATCCCTCAGTAATAAATCCGTTTGTTGTTCAGTGATGTCATCAGTGTGTTAACACTACTGAGCCGCTTGTCCGGTTCCAACACTTCCTCCCTTGGTTGCACAGACAAATGTTCTGCTCTTCACTGCCATATTTAACGTTGCTGTATTATGTAAGAGATTTCTGAGCACCAGTACCTCGGATCCACTGGGCCCGAGGTGGAGCCTGGATGTTAAGCAGCTTCTCCACAGCTAAAGAGTAGGCCTCCTCATTGCACATCATGGAAACATAATCCAGACGGTCAAAGTAGGGCAGAGCCTGAAGCACAGAGGAGGAAGTAGTTCAATAACACACACTAATGACACATTAATAAAAACTCTTGTATTTGTACTTTCTGGTGACATTTCAGGCAGAGTGTGAAGCTTTCTTTTTGATCTTCCACCATTTAGGATGACGACAGTAAAAGTCATATTAAAAACTTATTATTTCTCTGTAACAGCAGCTATTGGTTAAAAGGTGGACTGCAGAAAGTATTTGAAAGTATAACTAAAGACAGTGTTTTTCCCCAGGGAGGATTAACTGCTGAATTGCTTTTACATTAGTGAAAAAACGATGATTGCAGCCATTTAAAATGATTTCAAAACAAATAAACTCCTACTGTAAAAAGTATAAGTAACTTCTGACTTTCACATAACTGTTTTTTTGTTTTGATGCAGTAAAGTCTTAGATAGACTGAAGTTACAAATATTTCATTTTTTATTGCTCCTCTSTGTTCAGAGAAGCAAAAAGAAACATTTGTACCGCTACTTGTTTTTCAGACTTAAAGCACTAATGGGAAAAAATACAATTGTATTTACAGAAACAAAAAAAAAAAAAGTCTGACCTCCTCTTAAAACGAGTTTAAACTGCAGGAAGGTCATTTTTAACCCTGAAAACAAAACTCAAACCTTGTGGCTGTCCTTCAGTTGTTGAAAGACGTGTATAATAAAACAATCATTACAATAAATTACTGTTCAGTCTGGTTAAAACAGATAAACAGCGATGTCACACTTAATTCATAAAATTATATCATTATGTAAACAAACAAACAAATGTAAACAAAAATGGTTTTTCAGGAGTCATCTCTCTACCTGCAGGTAGGTTTTGTACTCCACAAGCTTTTCTGTGCCTCGGTGGAGCAGGCCGATGTGGGGGTCACATTTTACGACAGACTCTCCGCTGAGCTCCATGACCAGGCGCAGCACGCCGTGAGCAGCAGGATGCTGAGGACCAAAGTTCAGTTTTAGGTTGGTAACATCTCGAACTGCATCAGGCTCTTTGTCTGAAAACATAAACAAAGGGATTAATGTGTTAAATATTACATTAATGCATTCTTTTTAAYGAGGTAACAGCTAGAAAATAACAATAAATCAGGGGTTTCGGCATACRCTTTGTGCTGTAAAACTACAGAATAATTWAAAAAAAACTTTTCTCAAAGGTGTGTCAGTCTGTACCAAACCATGGGGGGTGCTTCATCTCTGCTTTGAAAGAATAGGGGTACATGACAGCCCCGCCGTACTGCTCAACCCACTCCACATCTGGCTGCCACTGCTTCTGCCTGAAAACCACAAAACATCACAACATGAAGTACAGCTGGACGCTGCTGATGAGTTTTCAGGCAACCATGACCTAAAACACCGCTAGGGTTGGGCAATATTGGCAAAAAAATTAATGACGATTAATTGGGGTATTTAGCCGATGATGATTAATTTGACGATTAATCTCCTGGAGTGCCTGGACACCTTTATGTTCCAGTCACACGACTAATTTAATGGGAGAGATTTGCTCTTCGTAAAAATCTGTTCCAAATTGTGTCAAAATTACAGACTTCAGGCTATACATCAAATTTTAAATTGTATTGATGGATAAATAAATTACMGAACTTTTTTATGTTTGTCATATTTGAAGCAGAGAGGAGCACTGCAATGCCTGATGGCATTAATTGCATTAATCATCAAGTGCCAAAAAATAATCGATTAATGTTTTTCTGACGATTAATCACACATGATACGATTATGCCCAACCCTAAACACCGCCTATAATAAATACAACTACATTTATTTCACTTGACCGTTTCTGACCGTCGGCCACATTTACAGTCTGAAGCCAGAGGAAGATAAATGGTCTCTGCAAGCTGGTCCCAGTGAACGTTTAAAGTCCCACACTGGTAGGGCTGCCACRATTAGTTGACTAGTCACAAATATTGTCGACTATTAAAATTGTCAACTAATTTAATAGATCAGTGTTACCCAAAGTTGGGGTCGGGACCCAAAGTGGGGTCCTGAAACATCAAGGTGGGGTCCTGAAAAGATTTTCTGAATTAATTACATTTTTGCCTTAGTTGTTACAAAGGAGTGAGGTTAGTATATTTAAAATGGATAAATGTAGTATAAAAATATTGTTACTGTTCCCATGTTTTGTTGACCTGATAAAAATGTTTATCATCCAAAAACAGTTGTGGGCACAGGTCTCTGCTACTGTTATTTTGTGGTTAAAAAGCTGAAAAGTTTGGGAACCACTGCACTTTGGTTCCCAAAGTTGGGCTTGGGACCCAATTATGGGTCATGAAGCACCTTGGATAATCTCCAGAAATCAATTTAAAGGCTAATAAAATAATTGCTGATGTAATATTTTCCCTATAATTATACAAAAACACAAAATAAGTATAAATAAGTATTTATATTTGCGTATAAGCTGTTTAGATAGTCAAAAAGCCTGTGTTTTTATGGTTATTAACAAAGTTTGTGTCCTCAGACCAGTAATATTTGGGGTCACAAGTTTTTGCCATGGATATTTTGTGGGTCAGAAGATAAAAAGTTTGGGAACCCCTGTAATAGATGATGCGTTGTTGTTTTTTCTAACTTTGTTTTTCTCTCAAAATGGCTGCAGCACCTTCCACTGTCACGTCTGCCTTTCTGTCCTCGACACACATGGGCAGCAGAGTGTTAATTAGGGTTGCCACAAATGATTATTTTTATAGTCGACTAATCGGTGATTGGTCGATTATAATACAAAGTTAGAAAAAAACGATGCATCGAATATTTAAATTAGTCGTTGACGATTTTAATAGTTGACATAATCGTGACTAGTCGGCTAATCATGGCAGCCCTACACCCTGGTAAACCAACTCTATGACTGTGTATGTAGGTGGGACCTAATGACCCATTTTCTAGTGCAGTGTTTTTTAAAGTAAGGGCTACAAAGCCCTAGGGGACCACCAGGGGACAATAGGGGGGCCTCACAAAGCTAAAGGGGCAATTAGAAAAAAAAGAGAAAAAAGATTAATCTAATAAATGTTTCAAATCATTACCATAAAATCAAATCTATTTTTCAAATATTTCAGAACATAATTTAMATTAACATGTTGAAACGTTATTTAGGAGAGCTTAAGAGGTTTTTTTATTTTCTTATCGCAACAGTTTGTTGAAAAGTTGTTTTTTTTCTAGGGCTGTGTATTGGCAAGAATTTGGCGATACGATTCATATCATAACAGAGGGGTCACGATACGATATATCCCGATATATTGTGATACTGTAAGCAAGGCGATATATTGCGATATATTGCGATTTTTTTGTCCAAAAATTCTATTAAATAAAAACCTCTTACGGAAAAAAAAAGAAAAGCTAATGTTTACTTACAATGCTAATGCTACCCTTACTCTCTGGTGCTCAAGAGGTAGAGGAGCCAAATGGCTGGCTCACTGCTGCCAACTAGTGGTCAGAGGCTGAACTACAACATAAAAATGAACGGTTGCTAAGAAGGTTGACGTTTTAAACCTTAATTAAAAATCCATACAGGGCTTTAGAATATCAATACAGTATCGGGAAATGAAATATCGCGATATTTCAGTGTATCGATATTTTCTTACACCCCTATTTTTTTCAGTGAGAATATACTACAGGGTTTAAAACAGGTTTGTTTATAAAGTTATTATGCTAAACATATCTAATAATTACAAATGAATAGTGAATATAAGTGAGAAAAACACGCTAAAAGTTTATGTTTTTTTTACATACTTTGAAGCATTGTTTGCAGGTTTACAAGGGGGATCCCTGGCCTGAAGTTAATACTGTTTGGGGGGGCATGGCATGGAAAAGTGCACAGCCCACCCCCCAACTTAGTAGCCCCAACTAACTGAATCCTTTTGCCTTTAAACCTCAACAACAATGAAGGCCGGTACATCTGGTTAAGTATTTCTAATACACGGTCAATGTTTTTGACTGAAAACAGCACTGAAAAATTAATTTGTTATTTTTTTATTAAGACTTTGAAAGATGCTTTCAATGAGTCTTTAATTACAAAGCACCTGTCAAACAACAAAACGTAACACAAAGTGTTTTACAGCAGATGCCACAAACAAAATCATACAAGGTCATTTTAAACAGTGATAAGTTTTAAATAACTGTATTTAATTTGAGTTGTAAAACTTTACACCTGTCAGGGAACTCCCAGAGGCTACRTTCACACTTAATGCTCAAAGCTGACTTTTTTAAAAATTTCATTTTTCAAAGAGAGGAAAATAAAAAAAACAAGACGAAAAAATGAGACCCACATGCACAGCAGACGTGTGACGTCACATTCAGCTGGAGGTTTACACAAGTAGCCTACGGATGCTACATGTTAGCATGTCAACTTTGAAGTTGTTGTGCAATCAGAGCCGTTTAAATAATAATCTGACTTGTTTGTTTAGATCAGTGTTTATATCTGAACCTGCCTCTGACCGGATGCTCTGGTGAACCATTTTATACCAGTTAACTGTAGGATCGATGTGGTCTGTGACCAATGTTACTATCATATGTTTCAGTGGATTCCCAGTCATCCAGGACATGGAAAATTCAAAGAAACAAGATGAAGTAAGTGGACTTCTGTAAATTTAAACTGAACGATTCAACATTAGTGTCTTTATCGATCAAAAAATTTGTATTTGTCACGTTTAGACTGTCAGAAAAAAATCCAATATGGGTGGCATGAGGCAAAAAAAAAGTCATAAGAATTCRATTTGGGTCAATTTTTTAACTTCAGGCTCATGGGTCATAAGGAAGCATAGTACACATGGATTAAAACAATACTAATGTCTATGTGCAGCAGGTGTTGGGTTTCGTTGTTTTCAGTAAATGAGGAAAAACAGTAGCAACAAAAAAACATGATTTTGTGCAGAAAAGTCTATGATTGCTTTTTTAATCTTAATATCCAAAAACTGTTGGAGGTTTCAAACATAAAAATTCCTCATTACAATAACCTACATACATACAGGCTTCAGATAAAATACCCATGGGTTATCCTGAATGGGATGACAAATCAAGTCACACCTCTAGTAGAAGCTCATGATGTCATATCAAAATTTAGCTTAAGAAGCAGGAATCTGGTTTGGTTATTTTGACCAAATTTGACTTTATTCTCAGTTTGGTGGGTCACATTTATGATTAAGACTGTCTGATACCTCCTTCCAATGTTAATCAAAAAGTAATATTAGAAACAAATGCTCATATTGTAGATTTATTTTAACCCTTGTCTAATAGATCAAACTATCAATCCCTTGAGAGAATTCCTTTAGGTAGTTATTGCAAAAATAATGTTAAATCTTAAATGTAAATGATTTTTAAAAACCCTCACTTGGTGTTTTATTGAACCCTAACTTTGTTTTGCTAAGTCTGTTAGTAAAATATGTCAAATCACAGAACATTTTGTAATTAACTCTTAGAAAGTATTCATAGTAGAAAGTCAAAACACCTATTGTCCATATAATCACAACTGTGTTATCATTAGGGCTGCCACAAACGATTATTTTTATAATCGATTAATCACCGATTATTTATTCGATTAGTCGACTAATCAGATCATACGTTAATTGAATATAAAACAYACAGCTTATCACGTCAGAATGCAGCTGCTATTATATAACCATGGTTAGATTTTAGCTATATGCTAACTAAAAATAATTGCTGTGGAAGGATAGTTCTGCTC